TCTCTTGCTTTCACCAAGACTCTTGGGTCCTACAATGCCCCTCTTTCTCTGTCTCCCACCATCACCCCGTCTCCCTCCTCTCAGACTGGAACACTCATCCTGCACTTCTTCACCTGGCTGACTCTTATCCCACCGTCAGGTCTCAGAAGACACATCTTTGAGTCCTCTGCTTCCTGTTTTCCTAGTACCATATACTTCTTGTAATCACCTTTTGTCTCAGTTTCAACAATTATAAATTGAATATGATAATAATGTCCATCAGCACTTAGTAAGCACATAGTAAATATTAATTTTATATAATTTTATAATATATATAGTATATATCAGCCCAAATTATAATGGCTTATTAATTATCTGTCTCCCCATCTGGACAGAAAGTTCAAGGAGGGCAGCCATCTGTCTATCTTATTCACAACCCTATCTCCATCATCGTGTCCACTGTCGCATGCAGGGACTCAATAAATATTTGCTGTATAGATAAATGGAAGGAACAGGGAGATAGTAGTCTACACTAAGACTTAGACTATCTACTTAGTCGTAGACTTAGACTGCCACATCTAAGGTAATTTCCCCAAAGTTTAAAAAGATAGTCGAAAAGTGAATGTAAGTGTAAATGACTCTCATATTGAGAGAGGTGGTTGTTTAGGGTGGTGCTGGCTCAGTTTTCCAGGGATAATCTTCAGCAGCAACATCTTAAGAAGGGGAACTTAAATGATCTTAACCCTAACGGCCCTGTGAAGACAATGGTTCTATTGAAGAGGAAGCTGAGTAGCAGAAGGTTTATATGACTGGTCTGGAGTCCAAGTTCAGTTCAGTTCAGTTCAGTCACTCAGCCGTGTCCGACTCATTGCGACCCCATGAATCGCAGCACGTCAGGCCTCCCTGTCCATCACAAACTCCCGGAGTTTACTCAAACTCATGTCCATCGAGTCGGTGATGCCATCCAGCCATTTCATCTTCTGTTATCCCCTTCTCCTCCTGCCCCCAATCCCTCCCAATATCAGGGTCTTTTCCAATGAGTCAACTCTTAGCATGAGGTGGCCAAAGTATTGGAGTTTCAGCTTCAGCAGTAAGAGGCAAAATGAAGCTGTGCAAACTCTGAGCTTATCCCTCCCTAGCTGTGTTCTCTAAAACTCTGGTGCTGAAGTATGTTAATAAGTGTTAGTGAAAGAATTGGAGGCATAAATAAGTTTGAGGACCACAGGATTAAATAGAAGTGACTGTTGCGGTTATTGCCTTTCTGCTGCAGAGATGCTCAAAGCTTTTAATATGCTAATGGTAATTGGGACTGTCCAAGATGAGAAAGTATGCATGCTTCCCCAGCTCACTTGAGCAAAGAGCCCTATCTTTCCAGAGCTTTCTTGGGAAACAAAGCCACAGCCCTGCTCATCCTTCTGCTGAGGTTGCCTACCTCCCTCTACCTTAAAAATGTGATCATTTCTGATCCTTGAAGGTTTAAGGCTAGTAACTAGGTTTCAGTGGTGAAAACATAATACTCATTTGATTCAACGATAATTTGATAAAAATGTAGGATTTGCTTTGCCTTGTGCCAGATGCTGTGCGATACCAGAAACCATGAAAATGTCCCTGCTCTTATGACAACATCACTACTGAGGAAAGTAACAAAAACAATCACAGTGACTGCTTAGCCTTGCTGTATAAAACCTCTTCCCCCCAAAGTGCATTCATAGCTTGTATCTCACTTGCTTCCTGATTGAGTGGAGGCAGCAGGTATCACAAGCAGGTATCTACACAAGATGAAAATGTAAACCTCAGGAGACAAGTGAATTGCTCAGTTACATGGCCAGTCATCCATTTGGAGAATTTATTTTCAGGTTCCCCTCAACTCAGGGTCTGTTCTCCCCAGCTAGTATCAGCTGTGTGATTCTGTGTAATTCTCAACTTTTCAGCATGGTAGATTTCATTTTTTCACATACACATCTAAAGTGATGGAAAATATATAACAATATCATGTTGAATGTTGGAAATGGAATGGACCTTGGCAATTTTTTAAACCAACCTCGCCATTTCCTGAGTGAATGAAAAAGTATAAAGAGGTCCAACGATATGCCCAAGGTCCCCAGAGAGCTTACAGTAGTTATAAGAAATAATTTCCACTATCTACTGTCCACCATCCACTCTCCAAATCACCTCCAATGTTTAATTTTATCAGTGTTGGGCTTCCCTGGTGGCTCAGTGGTAAAATCTGCCTGCCAGTGCAGGAGATGTGATTTCAATTCCTGGGTCAGGAAGATTCCCTGGAGAAGGAAATGGCAACCCAGTCCAGTATTCTTGCCTGGGAAATCCCATGGACAGAGGAGCCTGGCAAGATACAGTCCATGGTGTCACAAAGAGTTGGACATGATTTAGTGACTAAGCATACACATACATGAAAAGTGTATTTGTTTTATTCCTGCCTTAATGTTGGGGCTGAAACCACTCAGCAGGTATGTTTGTTCCCATCACTGTTATCCTGGGTGACTTTTGTTTACTCTGCTATTGTTTGAGGAGCTTTGCATACAACCAGGAAAACTGTTAAGTCTTCACATTGGCAATGATCTTTAAGACCCATAAAAGATGAATCACCGAGGGAACCTATAACTTTGCATGATCAAAGTAAAAATTCTATTTTTATGGCTGTCTGTGTTTTATCATCTATAAATTTTATAATAATGATTAGGTTCAAAGTAGGAACATAATTTACATACATCAAAATGTCTCACAGTGTCCTCACAGCCTCTGAAGCACCTGCAGCAGACAGGAGGAAGCTGAAAGCTTCCAGGCTCTCAGAGGCATTAATCAGTGGAGCCTCTCTAAGGGGGAGAGAGAGCAAGAACATGACAGTGATGGTGGCCTCTTATAACCACACTTGTGTATCCTGAAGTGTTCACACAGGAATAGTGCTTTCTGCATTTGTCAGAAATACACTTCCTTCAGCTTTTTCATCCCTTCCCAAGGTAATCAGTCCTATTTCCCAGAAATGCTTTTTCTCTTGCACTGACCAGAAACTCTTTAGAAGTGTCAGCACAGGAAGAACTTTGGAGAGTGTAGCTATTTAACACAACTGATTTCTCCCATCTGTGCCCAGAATATGTTCAAGTCTATAGATAGATGGTGTGTGTGTCCCTTGAGTCTCTGCAGCACCTTCCATCTCCTCCGTCCTCCCACTTAGTTCTACCTCGGATTGATTTTGCCTCCTAGCAAAGAGTTAAAGGTGATCACGGAGGGATTTAAGTCCAGGCATGCTGGCAGACGTGCACTGAGGCAACAGCAATGACAAATCACGGATGGTGCAGGCTTGCAGAGTAAACATCAATTTCTCCAATTTGCTATAGCCCGAGAACTTTATAAGCCTAGCGAATGAATTGTGAGTGTGGGTTTTGTGCTGGATGGATTCAGCAGGGGTTGTTGCTATAAAGCTCTGTTAATGTACGCCGAGTCTTCAGTTTAAATATCATGAAGGAGTAAAAAGTCACAGCTGTTTCACCCACTGCCCTCCTTACATCTGTCAGTTTCAATCTTCTTGGACAAAGGCTGCCTTGCAGTCTTGCACCTGGATTCAGCTTCATACTGATGGGTGTGTTGGCCACAGCTTGTCCCCAAATACCAGGGCAAGGATTTTCCCCTTATCTCTCTGCTTCTTGAAGCCCCATCTCCATCTTCAAATGCACTACCTAGCCTTCAATGCAATATATTTTTGGCTGCATATTTAGCCATGTCTCATGTCCTGTGTTTAGAAATATTTTCTGTTTCTGTGAGATTCTTCATCTACCATAGTAAATATTGAGCTCTTTCACAGGCTAAGCACTGCGTTAAATGCTTTACATGGACCATCTTGTTTAATATTTATATTTCTGTGAAATAGGCACAATTATTATCCCCATTTTATAGATGAGGAAACTAAAGCTGAAGTGAAATAATTTGTCCAAAGTCTTAGAATTCGTAAGGGCCAGAGCTGAGATCTGATCAGACAGACTAAAGCTGTTCAGAACTTTGATGTCAATATCTTGCTTCTCACATTGGACCAGGCTCTCAAAGAGTGTGGTGTTAGTTGCGAGTCTGTGTTTTCCTCCTTGTGGCTAGAACACTCAAATATCTGTTCATTTCAAAGAGCCTAGGAAAAGCCAGGATAACAACCAGAACCTCTAAAGCTAGTAGACCTAGAAATATGACTCCCCCAAAGGAGACCCTGCTTTTATTCCTGATGATGTTAAAAAGCCTAAATAGGAAAATTCAGTTTAAAGACAGCCTTAAATAAAAGTTTCATTAATCCGAATGAGTATTCCTACAATATTGAGCCCTGGGTTGAATTTTAGAACCCTCTTTAATGCTTTGTTAGTAACAAAGCTGTTATACAAATAATCTGGTAAGACAGTCCATTGCAATGGTGTGACTTCACTGTGCAAAAAGGGTGCCTTAGCCCAGGGTCTGAGCATACCCTACTTATGTAATGCTAACATAATGGATTATGCATATTGTATCGGGTTAAAAAGGAAACCCAGTGAAGTATTACAGCAATTTAAAAGATATATATCGGGGCTTGTTCAGCAGAGATATTTAAAATTTAAACCTGTTTAAATATTCAGCTGAAACTAAAATAAAATTCTGAAAAATGGAATTCAATAGAAAAGCTCCATTAAGAGTAAAAATGCTTCTCCAAACCCATTTGGCTCTAATAGAAACCCATCGAGTGAGGGTTTCATTGTTTCAGGCACCAGCCAAGGGAAAAATTATACATAGGTTTGGGTAGAAGAATATCAGTGGGTCTTCCTGTGGCATGAGCTTCCCTTGGAAAAGTAAGAGAAAACAGGGAACTCAGACCAACACTCAAATCAGGCCATGATTTGTTTAGAAGGGTCTGGAGAGCTTTCTTAAAGATCATCTTTGTATTTGCTCCTTTGCTTCAGTAAAACCTCATTTCACCTTCCACATCAGATGTGATTCTTAATAAAAAAAAGGAAAAAAATTGGCACCTTTGGCTGCAGTATCAGGATACTGACCAATTTGCCTCCCGAGAGCCAAGTTTTATTTCTCTGATAAACATCCTGCAGGATGTTTTTATTCCATTAATTGAAATGGTGGCTTGCACAGAAATGTACCGCTTTATCAAGGTCTGCTTGAATATCAGGCTCAGGCTGAGCCCCAGCATTTTCAGGCTGCCGCTCTCCCGACAGCAAACACACGAGGATTCTGAAACATAATTAAAACAATCAGGAAGAATTAGCTAGCTCGGTGACTGCACTCAAATAGCAAACCCAGAGAAGTAAATGGGGAAACGTATGGGTAAGTGAACAGGAGCTTTCCAGAGATGGAGAGAAGGCAGTTAGGAGACATAAAATGGAGGGTATTATGAGAAGAAATATAGGATAATATAAACAGAGTCTCTAATCCTGAGGACTGTAAATCCCTTTTCCTTAATTGGTTTAGAAACTGTGGTCTGTAATGTGAGACGGAGGGCTCTGGCTGCCTTTCTTCTTTGCAGCCCAGAATCACATTAAGTGGAAAACAATAGTGAGGCTGACAGCTCCCTTTCTGTGGGGCATTTAGAGCTAATCTGCTATTGAGACTAATACAATTACATGGGATTAGAGCACTGCCAATGATACAGAGATTGGGGAATTCTCGGGGGAGGAAAAACCGGGCATTTTCAATGTGGGCTACAGGGTTTAAGAGGGATAGAGGTTCAAGCCTGCAATGCTCCTAGTTATTCAAAAATCAGGAGAAACAGCCAGGAATTTGTAATTCATTCAGGATCTCGATGATGTATTTTAATCCAAATACAATCCTAGTTTGTGATTTCTTCACTGGTGCTGTCCACGGCTTCCCAGGTGGCTCAGTGGTAAAGAATCCGCCTGTTAGTGCAGGAGATTCAGGACACCAGAGTTCAATCTGGGTTGGGAAAATACCCTCAAGGAGGAAATGGCAACCCACTCTCATATTCTTGCCTGGAAAATTCCATGGACAAAGAGGCCTGGTGGGCTACAGTCTATGGCGTCACAAAGAGTTGGACGTGACTGAGCAGGCACACACGCTGTACACTGGTTTGCTTATTTTTAAAGATTTATAATTAAATTTAGAGATCCCCTAATAGGAGTGCACCTTTCTACTGGCTCTCCTGATGTGTGAGCAAAGTAGGTAGGTATTTTTATGCCCACTTTACAGGGAAGAAAACTGGATTTTAGAGAAGGTAAGTAATTTGCCTAGACACGCATACAAAAATGTGAAACCCAGGATTCCAACCCAAGACTTTGTAAGACTGGAGTTTATTCTTTCTATGACCCTAAGGTACCTTTTCAGCTATTGTGTGACTAGTATGGATGTGTGATGCTGTGTCTCTGGGTTTCCCGTACCCAGCATCAATTCCTCTGATTTCTCATTGGGGAACTTTAACACCAAACTAAGGAATGGGCACATGACCAAGTCTTACCCATTCTCAAGTACCAGTTGTGTTGAATTACCAAGTGCATCTTCTCTATCTATATAATCTATGTTTATCCATTGTTTATGGAACATTTTGCCACGTTGATTTTGGAAGTGCTTAACTTCAGAGTATTTCTTTTCTTGGAAACATAAAACCCCTCTTTAAACAATTAAAACTCTATAATTTGCTGAAAATCCCTTATTTGGCTTTCAAAGTTTGAGGAGAGGAAGCGAGAATTAGAAACTCATATAGTCTTGCCAGCTGCAGGACAACTGGAGAGATATTACAATCATGCCTTAATTTGTTTCTTCACGTGTGTTCATCATATTTCTTGAGTACTCAACTGTAGTGATGGTATTGAATAAAAAACATAAAAAATGGGATCCTTAAAGATGTAGCTCATTCAGGAAATGGGGAGTTAGAGAGCCCAGGTCTGGCCTTCTGGTTTCTGCCAGAAATTGTACTCCTGTGGGTTGGAAAGTTCTATCATTTCCAGAAGCTGAAGATCATGGAAAAGATTACCAGAAAACAGAGAGAATTTTAAAGATGATGTCTTTTCTTTTCAAGTATGCACTGTGTGTGGGTGTTTATACACCTTTATTTGAGATGATCCCTGCTAGTTTGTGCAAGAACCCTGGTGCATTGACATGCTTTTGGGAAACTATGGATATGGGAGTGATTTAAGGACCTCTCAAACAGATGTAGTGGTTGGGCGAGCAGAAGGTTAAATTCAGGAACCCTAAGTCTACTTCTTCTAAAATACTGAGAAAGAGATTTGTTTTCTTTCCAGAGCAAATAGGCCGCTAGGGCGCCTCTGTTATGTCGCATCCTCAGCCGTAGAGGATGGAGCCCTCGATGGCTCATGTCACTCGGTTCCCTGATGTAACCACCACACCTGGTCATTGTTTATTTTCTTAAAGGAACAAAGAGACAGGCTCTCTGCTCCCAGGCAGCGGGGAAAGACATTCCTTTCCTATTTTCATGAAGCTCCAGAGGCCTTTCCCCTCCATAGAGCTTTCAAGCCCCAAGTCTGAAGAACCTCAGGTACGCCATCAGAGGCTGTGTCACGTTTTCTAAGCTATCTCCCGAGGAAGGGCCAGTCTTATTATTCCCATTTGGCACATTTTACACAGTAGATCAATTTCCAATTCCCAACAAGTGAACTGCCCCAAATTTTCTACAATGAAACATAAGTCCGATCATAAGGGCATAAAAATATGCATACCCACCGGAGCATTGTTAAGATTTCAGGAAGAAAATTTTATTTCACCTTAAAATACGATCTATAGGAGCCTAATTGTGAAAAATGCATTGTGTGTGGGCCTCTTTTGAATATTTAGATGTGGAAGAATGTGAGCAGTCGCCAGATAATATAATTTTCACCCAGCCAAATATTGAGCACTGTGAAGAAAATGCAACTTTTGCAGTGTGATTTATATATGCTTATATACCCTTCATTTTGAGTCTATGTGAAATGCAGACATTTATAGTTCTATAACCAGAGGAATAAAATTTGAATGTGTAGTAAAATGAGAAATGTATTTTAAATGGGCTTTCAAAGCAGAACTGGGGAAGTCGTCAGGAGGCCACAGTCACTAATATCATTGGTTATTTCGTTAGATGGCCGCTCGATGGAGGCCTGGCAAGTACAGGATTGAATTCAGGCTGATGGGCATGGGAGATGGAGTGACGGCTTCCCAGAAAAGATTGAGATACAGAAACATCATAATCCAGGCTGGCCAGAATGCATGCCACAAAGCCACTGTGAGAAATTCCTCCTTCCCTTGTAATGCATCCTTATTTTTTTCTTTTTACTTTTAAAAGAAGAATAAAAAAAAAGATTTTATGATTTGGCACAGATCATTGATCATAGTTTTGTATTTCAAATATCTCCCAGCTGTGTTCTTGTGTCAAATTTACAAAAGATATAACCATTGTTTCCACAAAATATTGGAATATTGAGTGGTTATTTGCCCATGGGCACCGATCATGCTCAACATAACTCCTAGCATGATAGAAGCCACTCATGGGCCCCAAGCGATATGTGGGAAACAGGGAGCTCTAAAGAGTGTTTCTTGCTGCAATGGGCAGCTGGCGTTGTTGGTTGTCCTCCCCTTCAGAGGGGCCCTAACAGAACTCAACATTCCAGTTGGAAATTTGTGTCATGTGGTTTGAATGGAGACTAATCTGTTTTCCCTCCAATCTCTATCACAGAGATGTCATGAACCAAAGCTGGGCCAAGCAGAGTCCTCAGAATTTTTCCTGCACTTTTAGGGAAGCCTGGTTTATTCCAATAGTCTTACTAAGCTGAGGGGATATGGGCTGGGGGTCACTGGCAGCCATTTTTATTAAGTACCACACGGAGAAAAACATCCTAAAGACTGAGCCAAGCCAAGCTGAGTTCAGAGATGGAGAGAAACCAAAACTCGTTACCTAATTTGAGTCTCTGGATCCAGTCATGCTTGATTCCAGTAACAACCCCCTTTTCCAGTTTTGTGAGCTAATAAACTTCCTCTTTTGCTTAACAGAGTTTTAATTGGGTCTCTTCTGTTATTTACCACCCCCCCAAAAGCCCTAATAAACTTATAGTTTACAAGAAGACAATGTATTTCATTTATATTTGCCAGCCTTCTCTGTAGCCTAGCTTGGGACCACATGACTAGTTCCTGCCAAAAGACTGTGAGCAGATGTGATCAAAAGCGGAAGCATTCAAGAAATAGTACACCTTGTCCAGCTTTCTTTTTCATTTTTGCAGAGACTTAGAGGCCATGTCTATAAGATCACGTGGCTAGAAGATAACAGAGCCCATGTCTGCATGGGTTACTTACACCATGCAGAACAGAGCCCCCTGCCAACCTTTGCTGTGTTACATCACCAAAATTTAAGGAAATTTTTTTAAATAGGCACATAGGGACTTGTGATAGAAATTAGACTTCGTTATGGAAAAATTAAGCACTTTATTTTTTTCTTTGTTTTGCTGAATTTGTGGCTAAGATCCATGTTCATTGATTAGCTTTATGTAAGGCTTCTTCATAACATAAGAAGTGGAGGTAGGAGATGTCTAAGAAAATACAAAAGAACCAAGAATAGGGAGATCATGATCATAGGAGCTGTCCTTGGTGTTGTGCCCAGAGAGTCATAGAGAGCACAGCCTCAAAGGAAGCCAGCGTTCACCAAGTCCAGCTATGGGATCAAGCACTTTACCTATGCTATTTCACTCTATTGTCACCAACAAACTAGAAGATGGTATAAATGCCACTGTATTGACAATGAAACTGAATTCCAGAGAGATAAAGTAGAGCCACAGATTACTGGCTAGAAAAGCTTTGAACTCTATCTGCCCAACTACACAATCTAGCCTAAATTAGTCTGTTATTACTGCTAAATGTAATATAAATGTTACTTAGAGATAATCCTTTCTAGATGCACTCAAAATACCAGTCTCCCTGATCCATCTTTCAACACAGAGAAAGCAAGATTCTGTCACGTCTGGTTTGCGTTCTTGGGTTCAACCATGTTAGGGTTGCAAAACTCAGGCCTCCCAGTCCCCTGACAACTTAATTTCCCTGTCCCTGGATTCTTATATTCCTTGTCTGTCCACCATTGAATATGACAGTCTTTTTCTTCAACACCCCGTCTGGGATATTGCCCTTCTTACCTTAATCAGTTTTGCTATTGGGTTCACAGTCAACTGAGGTCCCTCATTCCCAGCTCTTCATCTTCTCTAA